GTCCAACCGTCACACGTCGACTAGATAAGGGACAGAACTAGCGTGCAGCTGCAGCTGGGACTCACGCCGCGGAGCAACAACTGAGGGGCAGCAGTCTCGTGAGGTCACTGCCATCAATCACATTTAAATTCCCCACTGGGCTTTTGCCGGTTGCCCGGACGGATTCACTAAGTGAGAGTTCGGTTCGAAATGCGAGCACGAGGAGGGCACGAGGCGTCCTCCCTAGCGTGGCTGGATGCGATTGCAAAGCGGTCCTAGTGTCTCAGGCGTGTGCTACATCAGTGTACGTTGGCGTTCGTCCGTAAGAAGAGCCGGCGACTTCAAGCTAAACGACGTTGTGCCACTGAGCGCCAAGGTACAGCTACTGTAAGCTTAATAACAAGTGACGTGCTCGTGGCTTGGATCTTTGAATCGACGTCTTATCGACCGGTACGTGCTCAGCTAGCGCGCGCTAGTGACCTCGAGTCGGGCAGGCGGGAGCTGCGGGACGCGTCTCAAACCCCGTTGCGGATATATGGTAGTACCACGTGAACCACGAGGGCTAGTTCAGAGCCCGACAAGTGGCACTCCCGATGCTTGACCTGGCGAGACGATGGTGTCGACTGTCGAATTGACCCCATAGGACTATGTGCTCTGACTCTGAGTCTGGCCATTATATTGGAGGCTAGATTTCCAGCTGGTTGGCAGATACCGATGACGCTATGCTCCATGGCGGCGGTTACGGCGAGCTCTGTCTGGCATCCGCATGTGCTACATTCAGGTTCTTCTGCAAGAGGCAGTAGTATCACGTGCAATTTGAGCAATGAGCTTGTAGCCACCTTTGGGCTTCGACACTATGAAAGGAGCAATGCAGTTAATGCCAGAAAAGAGAAACAGGTTGGAAAGCTCAGTGGCATTGACTTTCTACCATTGAAACGAGGTTACAACAGCAACGTTAAGCGTGTTCGTCAGGGGTCGGGGTTTTGTGCCGCTGGGGCTGGTGGACCAAGTTCGAACACAGCAGAATCAGATACAAAAGCATTGGAGGCCATTAGAGACGGAGCTGTGAGTTCTATGCCTGTGTGTGCCGTTAGATTGCATTTCTTGTTGAAGATCCCTGTGAGAATGTGTTTGCCATCATTATTCAAGATTGAAGTGTGCAGAACACAGATATTGGCTAAAACCACGATCCATGGAGCACACTGAGAAACCTTGGTCACTTGGCTTCTGCCATGTTAGGTTGTTCAACTTGCAGTTCAGTCATTGAATCTGCACAGCTTGAACGGACTGTCTGCCAACCTCGCTATAAATAACTGCTCATCTATATACCTCCCTCTGGCGTCAATACCATCACAAGAAGTAAGCAATCAGCATTGTCTTATTGGCAAATAAGGAGTCGGCTAAGGTCTTGCTTAGGAGCACGTTGGCAAGCTTAACCTATCTGGCATTGTATCTTACATGCCACCAACCTTTCTGAGGAACTTGTATGCCCCACAAGAATGTCAATCTTCTGAGCTTGGGAAGGTAGACTTTCACCAACCCTGAGTATGTCCTCTGCAGAGTGCCCTTGCCGCTTTGGACGCGGGGTTTCTCAAGACCTTGCCACAAGATCTACAAGCAGACGTAAGCAGACATCCCCTGAGTGCACAGAACGCTTTGCATATGAACAACGGTGCAGCGGGCTTGTTAGATTTCTGCCTTGATCTTGTTGATGGTCAGCTTCAGCTCAGCGTGTTTGTTTCCACACTCCTAGTTACTTTAACCGCATCTGGATTGCCTATTTGCAGCTTTTGACGGCATGCTTGCATTGCCTTCCTTTGGACCATGTGGTACGTAGTCTTGCCCTTTCCTTGGACCACCTATAGAACTGCAAGTCTTCATTTTCCTTCATCCATACTGATGCCTGCCTGAGTATACTGGGATGCCTCTGCGCAGGCGAAATACTCAGGATTCCAATTAGCCAACGGTCCCCTTGACAGGGAGGTGAGCCTTCCGGACCCACCACGTACTCTGTCAGCCTCAGGCATTGCAATCAGGTAAAGAGCTAGTGCAATTCGAGGAAACTAAACTTATTTTCCTGTGCTGTACTCGACTCTGAGATTGTGTTAGGTTGATGGGTGAGCCTTCGTTTGTGGATAGAGTCCACTGAAGTGCGCCACCCCGTGCTTGCAAGTCCTTATCGTCCTGACCAGATTGGGTCCTTAGTGTGCTATAGTGCACATCCAAACACATGTCATGCAGGTAGGAGACGCCGCAGCGCAGGTCCTGGGCAACCTGGGTCGTGCCTTTGAGGCCCTCGACGTGAAAGCCGCCGCTGCTGCGGCTGGGAAGCTTGAGGGCGCCGCCCGCGCGTTGCCTGCTGGCAGCAGCCAGCGAGCAAGGCTAGGACAGCGCCTCACGGCTTTTGCTGGGCCCCTCAGAAGCGGAGACAAACAGGAGCTCAAAAAGGTCAGTCCGCCTTCTAACAACGTGGCTTCCTTCGATAGATCCACCTCACCTCGACTACCACAAATGGTTGTTGGCGCAGTTGGCATCTATCTACTCCTCCACGTTGACTGGACAAGCCTCTTGAAGTTGTCATGTCCGAGGTGGGACACCATGCATGGGCTCCTAGATGGACTCCGTTACGCCAACTGCTGCGGTACATACCTTCTGCAATCCAGACGCAAGATTCTGCTGGAATGGTCTGTGTATCTGCATCTGCTACACGGCTGCAAGCTTGGTCCTGAAACCCGGGGGTCCATGTCTTATATCCTCGTGACATGCTAGCCACCCTCGAGACAGGGAAGCCGTTAATTGCTTTATGAAAGTTGTCCCGCTATGCAACCGGGGTAAGCAGGAAGGCCCGATCGTTTATTGAATATAGAGCTGCTTGAGTACCGTTGATCGCCTAGAATAGTTTATTCTGACGGAGAAGGTAGGTTGAGCAAAGGTTCACGTTCCGCTTGCCAGCTAGGACGTGAATCTTGAGAAGGTTGAGAGGTCGTGCACCCTTGAGATTTCTGAAGCGGCTGATGTAGCTTGTTCATGAAGGTTGCCAACGCGTTGTCAACGGCGGGCCAGCTACTGGCTGCGGGCGCTGAGCAGAAGCCTGTCCCCGATGCTCCCCAGGAAACGCAGGTCAGCAGCCTCGCCTAGAATCTCCAAAGGAAGCACTCTGAAGATTAGCCGCCCACAACTCTCTAGGTCGTGCTGCGGAAGAGCTATGCTGAGTTCCCTGCGTTTCTCATCTCGAGATTGCAGTTATGTTCATAACCACCCACGTTGAGCAAGCCTTTCAAATTCCACACTGTTTTTGCATCGTACGCTACTTTCAATGTGTTCACATACTAGTGTCAGACAGCTCGTGCAGTACTCTTTTCGTGACTTCTGCTTGGACCGCAACGCTCACAATAAGTCGTTGCCTTTGGAAACCGTCTCCAGGTTTCCTGACGCAGTGTTTGCTGTCTGTGCAGTCTACGGGAGCGTTGCAAGGCGTGTCGCCCGTGTTTGTGGGCCTAGGAGTCGCAGCCGCCCTCCTGTGAGTGGCCACCCTCGAGATCGCCGTTGCTCATAAGGCTCCTTGTCCTCTTCATGTGCTGACTTGTGTTTGGATCGACACAAATCCTTAAACAACCTCCCGCTGCTTTTGATAGGGCGTGTTATGTAGCAGGACTTTGCGAACTCCCGGTCCAACAGAGGTTTGAGTTTGTTTCTGCGGCCCATATGTGCCCGGCAAGAAGCGCAAGGCTCGCAGCACTTGAACGCGTAAGAGCAGAGCTTGTTCGTTGTAGCGGGTGTCCTACCAAAATCGCGTCGTCCTTGCATTGGTAGGCTTGTGATGCGACATGTTCGACCTCAAATGCGCGCTTATTGTATTCGAAACGCACTGCTGAATGAGGTGTAGAAGCAAACTTTCCGACTCCGGGCCCAGCTCCGTTGACTCTCGCTCATTGTCCCCGCTCATGCTGCAGGGTCGTCTTTGCGCAGCTGGCCACGAGATCCTAGTGCTGACGCCCGGAGTTTGTGTCAAAGTAGGAAAGGCGCTCCTCGATGTTCCAATCTCCCATCAAAGCTTTCACTCAAATGTTGTCCATTGCGAGTTGCCCATTGCGAGTTGCCCGTGATACTCTTGTATCTCATTTTGGAGATCTTGGATCTTTCCGCCAAGAGGCATGCTTTTTTTCCACTGTGTCCTCCGTTTTTGCAAATGCCCACTTGGAAATGCGTCAGAGTCGTGCTTGCCTTCTTGTGCAGCGGTTCAAGTTCGGCCCACAGACGGGTTTACAAGAAGAGTTGATAAGGCACAACAGACGTTCGCCGTTTGCGCACTGGTGATCCTCGTTCAAGTTTTGGCTATCCTGCGATGCTAAGCGGACCCATTGGATTGTGCGAGCTCTGACATGCTTGGATCAGGCCGTTGCTCGATTCGCTGAGCAGTATATTAATTGTGTTTGAAGGCTTTGCTGGGAAAAAGCGCCGGTTAGATGGCAGTTTTGCTGATTATCTTCTTTGATCGCACACAATTGAAGTAGGTTGGGCTAGGTTTTTTAAGTTACTGTGTGCCCCTAATCATATGCTAGAGGAAGACAATCTGTAGCGCAGATCGGAAGACTTGACGTACCGGAGACCGCTGCAGAAGGCTGCCGCAAAATAAGTTTGCGGCCGGCCCACTAATGTGGAAGCTCACAGCCCAAGAGCGTACTTAGAGTATAAGTCTGCAGGCTGCGTGTCGTACGTTCTCAGATCTGCATGTCACCATCTTATTCTGTACATGTGAGGCAATACATCAAGGAGATTAGAGGCAAGCATGATATCTTAGCTTCTGACCTAGGCCGCCCATACGCAATTTGATGCTTCGCTTGCAAGTTTCTTGCACGACTTAGAGCTCCGTATTTGCACTGCATCTCTCCATGACAACGCACAGAAAGAGTGAGATGCGCATGCAGACGCGGGCGCGATGTACATGCAAAGCTCATATGGAAACAAGAGACCCGACGATGTACGGCAGCGACAAGGGCCCCCTCTTCCATGCCTTTGAGGCTCTGCGCACTCAGAAGAAGCTGTACGAGGCCCCAAGGCAAAGACCATGCCACAAAAATTCTGGCCGTCGCTTAAGGACAAAGTATATGACGACACCCACCGCAAGGACCGCGCCTGCAAGCATGAGCGCAGCATATGGCGGGGGCCAGCCATAAGTCAAACGGTAGATCTTCGTTTTCTAGTGCGTCTGAGACGACGAGAATTAAGATAGATGCTGCAGGAACAATAAATTAGAGTGCTTCTAGACTCCGGACAAAATACGGCCAGGAAAGTGGAACAATCCCAATTTGATGTTGTATGCTTATGCGAGGCCGTCAGATCCCTGATTGCGTGCTGACTGCACAGGTGATTTACTATCCTGCAGGGATCGAGAAAGGAGAAAGACGGACCAGCTTCACGGAATGCTAAAGCAAAAGTCGTGCATGTATTGTAGCGCCCTTTCTGACCGCTTCTTCTCTCCTTCCCCGTGGCTGCATCCCAACTTCCTGGACTGAGGCTGGGGCTTTCAACTTACCGGGGGGTCCACTCACTGCCTCTGGCTGCGAGGTCATCAAGATGATTGCGTTCAGTGACTATGCCTCGAACCTTGTCTTGCTTACCGAACCCAGCAAGATGAATCCACCTGGAGGGGCCAGCTCAGCCCAGCTGGCTGCACCGGGCCTGGCTGCAGTCATTGCAGTGCCCGGTTCCGACGTCAGACTCGGAATTGGTGAATGGTGACGGGATGGTCTCTGGTCGGGAGACGGGACACGGAGACACGGAGCATTGAATGCTTTCAATGATGATGCCACCACGATGATGCAATTGTTATGATGACAGTTATGGCAGGAATCTTGCTCGTGACCCGAGTCACCCGACGCGGGCGGCGGGGCCAATGCATGCAGGGCCGATCGTTTCGGCATGTATGGACCATTGTTTACGACGCCACCTAACAGTCCCAGCCTCCACTGGGTGATCAAGTGGGCGAGCTCTGATAATTGATTGTTCCGGCTGGGATTCGAGTCAATCCCAGAGCGTCAGAGAAGCTGACCTGTCAATGGGAACTGCAGATCCAGGTCACATGCAGGCATGCCTGATTGCGAGGCTGCACATAGTCACTGCATATAAGCAGTCACGAGGGCAATGCAAGGGTAGTGCACCAGTGCCACACTGCAATCAGTGCACCAGTGCACCAGTCGCCTCGATCGCCCAGTAACGAGTATAAATTAGCTCACGCATTGCCGCTTCACTTCTGTCAAAACATGTGAAGTAATTCAGCCCCGATTTCGAAAGCCTCCACTCTTCTCAGCAACACTATCCTTTCTCTTCTTGCAACACAGCTCTAAAGCAACAAAGCAACCATCCGTCCCTGGACCGCGTGCTGACATCTCCGCCCACGTCTCCACCTTTCGGACTCGTTGCCACTTTGTAAGAAACGGTGAGTTTACTTTCAATTCTTGGGCAAGGCTTGTGTGTTGCACTTTGCACTGGTTTTGATCGAGGGTGATGGCTGAGGACAGCTCTTTGGTTGTTGCTGCTAAATGGTCTTACTCTCTTTCGTCAGGACCAGTAGTACTTCAGTAGTGGCATACTCTCTTTGGTCAGGACCAGTAGTGCTCCAGTAGTGGCAGTAGGCAAAATATTGAGCTTGCGTTGTCTGGCCTTTTGCTCGGGCTGAGCTTGTCTGGTAGATGTATAGTAGCACTAAACTGATAAACTCTCCCACACAATACAACACAATGAGTGCAGCTAGGGAATCGTCAAGCGTTTGAAAGCTCACTGGGTTGGAAGTTTGCGCCGAGTCTGCCCATCCGATTGTTGTCTGCTATCGAATCTTACATTGGAGGTTTTCAGATTAAGTGCCTTTCTGAACATGTGTCGTGTTGGTTCGAAATGTACACCTGATTAGTTTTCAGCCTGCAAGACAAACTTTACTACCTGTCAGGCTAACCTGCACTTGTTTCATCTTGCAGTTCAACTCCCGACATGAAGTCGACTGCTGCAGTCGTCGCACTTTGTGCTCTCCTGTGCCTTGCCACAGTCTCTGCCCAAGACAGCAACCCCACCAAGGGAGTTATCTTCACGGGCGTTGATGGCAGCACGTACTCGATGGACATCACCAGCTTCACCAACACGCCTGGACTGACGGCGAATGGCATGTGCACGGGGAAAGACGCGGCCGGAACTGTCATCCCCTCAACGGCCTGCTCCTCTCCGGTCAATTCCATCAACGGCGAGGACCCCCCCACCGGCGGCCGCAAGCTGATGCAGAACACGGCTGCTGGCTGCGGCATCCTCAACCTGGTCCTTGGCCCTCTGAACCTCAACCTCCTGGGCCTGCTTGTTCAGATCCCCAATGCGGTGACCGTGGTCATCACCGCCGTGCCGGGGGGAGGTGCACTGCTGGGCAACCTGCTGTGCGCTGTCACAAATCTGTTGAACGGGACTGGTCCTGTCAGCTTGATCGGCCTGACTAACCTACTCAACACAATTTTGGCCACGTTGGCGGGATTGGGATTGTAAGATATTCTAGAGACGTTGTAAATCTAGCACGCCAAACATGTACCTTTTAAAGATGTAAAGGCATAGCAATTCGTGGTGACTAGCTAGTTCAGCATGCGAATAGCAATTTTGAAGAGAGTGAGGAAATTTGCGTAAATACATACAGAACAGTTGGTCGCATTCTGAAAAACGTTGGCAAAGCAAGAACAGGTCATTGTACTCTACTCAAACCTTCATGGGGCAGATATTGATGGATCCGTTATTATTGCGTTAATGATGCGAAATCATCGGCCAAGCATAGGAATGTGATTACCATTTTTCTCGAATGGAATCAAATCAAAATTCCCGAAAAACCAACGTTCGGTGAAAATTGACATTAGTATATTCACATCCCATGATCATGGTGATCCCATGATCTAGTGTATCGATACCATGATCAAGGACATTACGGGTGCAATATTGATATCGATACACTACATAAGGTGCACATTCATAAGCGTCTCGTCCAGAAGAATAAGGTATGCCATGCCATGATTACACTTACTGAGAAGAAAGGAAATAAATTGTACGGTTGGCAACAAATCATGAACTACAACATGCTGCCAGTTGCCAAGTGCATGAAATGAACCATGTGTCCAGGCAAAATTGAATATAACGTTGACCCTTTTCGAACGACGACAATTAAATCTGGAGACTGTTCAATTTCCTTGACACATTCGACAAATTGACAAAGCTATATATAAGCAACAAATCAGATTGAGTCTTTAACTACAATCACAGAATTCCTACATGTTAACACAAATGGTCAGGTTGCTCGAAATGCTGGGACTACTCTGCTGCCCTTGGGTGGTGGGTTGCCGCCAGCAACCGAGACGTAGAAGGCGAAAAGGGCCATCAACAGGGCCATCAAATGCTGCAGAGATACAGAGCAAGGATCGATGAGCAGCCCCCCGATGTGCATGCAAGGAGCAACTGTAATCCGGAAGCCTCGCATGCAAGGAGCAACTGTAAGACTGGTGCGCCCAATTTCGGACGATTGTAATTTCGGACGGGCAAACCCGAAATCTAATCTCGGACTATCTGAACCAGTCTGCGGCTGCACACGCGCGTGTGTAACGCTGTCGCGCGTGGCTCGTCTCCCAATAGTACTTTTAAAGGCGCCGTCGAGAACCGACGCGCACGAGCAGCCGCAGACCAGGTTAACTGAGTCCGAGATTAGATTTCGGGTCTGCCCGTCCGAATTCAAAATCGTCCGGAATTGGGCGCACCAGTCTTACATGATCCAGATGGGATGAAGCGGAAAACGAAGAGACAACTTTACTGCTCATCATGTGCTTCGCATGTGACAGGTTGCCTTCGTACGGGGGAGCACACTTCAATGAGAGCTTTGGACAGACGAGCATCTCACCTTGCGAGAGCTGTTAAGCCATAAGGAAGGAACGGTGCTCCCTGCGCACGCGGTACAGCCGCTTACTTCTGTGCCACTTAAGTCCTATCAATCAAGGGTCTTGCTAAAGATCTGCTCAGGTCTATTTACAAATCCAGCAACTCCGACAAGGAGAGCGGAGCAGATGAGAACAGATTCGTATTCTCTCGTCCATCGCTTCTGACTTTACCGCTGCAAATGTGCGTCCTTATGTGACTGTCAAGAAGACGGCGATACCTAGTTTGAGTAGTCAATAGGGGCCAATCAAAACGCTGTCGAGACACCTTCAACGTCTTTCGGGTGACGAGCAGAAGCGGTTTATATGGAAGGTGAATGAAGATCCAAGGGAGAAGACGGAGAAAATGCTGGAATCCTCAACATGTATCTCGCTGTCCAGAAGCCCTCTATTTACAGGGTCATGTGCGTTTCTCCTGCCTGCTCGTCATCAGGAAGGCAGACCGCTTTACCGGCACAGGCAGCGCAAGCTCTTTCTCGTGCCTTCTTGTCCTCACACCCAGCGCTTTCCATCCTTCGCCGAGCCGACGCCTACACGTAGAAGAGCGGGCAGCTCTGAACCCGAGAAAGAGGCTTCGGCAATTGCTTCAGCTGCAGACCCTTGGAGACCGACGAGATCATCCCGCTTGTATCGCACGCGTTCGTCTGCAGAGGAGCGCAACAGAATATGGCTTCAAGAATTTTGGGACGCGATTCAAACTTATGCGCAGCACCGGAGTGGACCGTCATCACAAAAGAGGAACATGTTCAGAATGCAAAGTGTAATGGAAGATACATCCATATTCGCAATGCAGGCATTAATGAAAGACGGCTGCAAACAAGTCCACAATCATGTAAACACAAGAGGAGAGAAACGCACGCAGTGCTGCTTCAGCAAGGGGAGTCGACCAAAAGACCCAAAGTTGCACCACCACCGTTGCTCTCAGGCTCGTCGCACGGGGTACCGCTACCTAGTCGAAACTTGATCGGGCCCTCACCCACGGAACTGCCCCGGCTGTCTCTCCGACTGCTCGTCTCGGCGCGCCCCTTGTCCGCGGACTGCCGCTGCTCTCCCTTCCCTTTCCCCGCCTTCCGGAACTGCCCGGGGGACCGGCTGCCCCCCGGGCCGACGCCAAACCACACGTTAGAAGAACCGCCGCTTTTGCGATTCCCCTTAGAAGCCGGGCCATCGTTCGCGGCGTCCCCCTTGTCGGGAGCAAATGGCAGGCTTTCGTGCTCAATCTTGACCGACAATCCGCTCGGGCCTCGCCGATCTTTGAACCGCTTGCGGAGTTCCTTTAGCCCCGATGACGTCAGCAGCCAGCACCCGCGTAGGTCGAGCCGCTGTAGCGCGTCCATCTTCGCTAGGGGGGCCACGCCAGCGTCGGTAAGGACCCCCCCGCTGATGGCCAGGCTGCGGACACGTGGCATGCTGGAGATTGGTTCCAGGGCGCTGTCGCTGATGGAGTCGCCTCGGAGAGCGAGACTCCGCAGACCTTGCGCATGCTTGGCGATTTCGGTCCCACAGTCGTCGGATGGCACTCCAGAGATGCTCAGGGACACCAGGCTAGGCAGCACCGCGAGGGCGCCAATTGCAGCCATGGGGAGGTCTGCAGAAGAGGGAAAGAATCATGGAAACGGAAGGAACTCTCCAAGGAGAAAACAGCTTCCGGGTGTGACTAAGTTTGGTCCGGAAGAAGAGTAATGAAGAGATGTTGCAGCAGAGCTATACAAGGACACATTGTTGAATTCGTACTGAAAAACCTGGTTGATGATAGACAACGAGAAACTGGATGTTCAAGTGAGCCACGCCGAGCGCTTCCTGAATAGCACAAGATGCTTTCAACGGGCAACAAGGGCGCTGAGATCATTGCGCTGAATGACAAATACCACCCGCTCACAGAATGGACCCCACAGCCCAGGTTTTCAGGGACCATTCGTGCACTGCTCTTCGTGCATCTTCTGAAACAAAAACAAAAAATAAGGTCGTCCATTCTTCCATTTTACGAGATACTATGCCTTCCTGCAGGCAACCAAGCAATCAGTCCTGCTCCGCCATAAGTGCGTCAGCCTACCGTGCTCTGGGGCCGCCCGCAGATCCAGACTCGTCAGCCGCGGCAGCACAGCTGGCAGCCGCGCCCAGTCGCGGTCGCCCGCATCCCACCCAGTGACCGCCAGCTCTTCGAGGTTCGCCATTTTCCCGCTTAGTAAGAGGTCCCCCCTCAAGCTCAGCTCCTCTTCGTCCAGGCTCTTCCCGCCCACCAGCTTCAACCGCCGCAGGGGGAGCACGGCGCCCCCGCTTTGCGCGGCAGCCACCAGCCCCCACAGCCCCCCCCCCCCGTCCTCCGCTATCGTGTTACTCAGGTCGAGGCTGGTTAGCGAGGCTGCATACCGGCCGCAGAAGAAGAAGTCGGGGCGGGCCCGGCCGCCAGCCAGGTCCAGCCGCGCGAGGTGCGGGAGCGCGGGCCACTCCGCGGCAGCATTCACGGTAGCGCCAAAAAGTGTCAGCTCTTTCAGAGGGGAAGGGACGGCTGAAGAGCGCTCGAAAAGTGTCTCGACAGTGCACTGGCTCATGTCGAGTGACGTCAGCGCAGGGAGGGTGGGCAGCCGAGTGACGTCAGTCCAGGCCAGGCTGAGGCTCTCCAGGCAGGGGAAGAGTGTGGGAAGCAGTGCGGCTGCTGAATCGGTGAGAGCGGAGCCCCACGCGTGGAGGAGCCGCAAGTGGGACAGGGGCTGCAAAGAGTGAAAAGACCAATCTGCTGCTGTCCTCTCAAAGAGAGGAAATGCATGGAAAGCGAGGAAGACTGGTGCTTTCAACCTAATTGTACCTACGAGTTTATGTCCAGAGCCACATGCGACTTACACCAACTATTAGAAAAGGAGTTGTGAACACGTACTTCATGTTGCTATGACGAGTCTACGGAATCTTTCACATTGCCGCCGATATGTTATCCGAGTAGAAAACTGGGAGCCGCTCTTTACCTGGAGCCGCTGCAGCGTTGTCCCATCAATGGCGATCCCACCCACCCGCAGCTCCGTCAGAGCCGTTCGCACCCCCAGCTGATTCACGCCTGCCGGTGAGACCGCTGTTTCCGAGATGTCCAGGGACCGCAGGCTGGTCATGGGCAGGATGTGGCGCAAGCCCACGAAGGTGACGCGCGAACACCGCGCCAGGCTCAGAGTCTCCAGGGAGGAGAGGCCTGGGGAGGGACGTGGCCAATAAAGGTGCGATGGGGCTTGGTTCTAATTAACCAAGACAGGTTGGGAAGCGAAGCTTTTCAAGCTTTTCAAGGCACTGGAGAACTCTGTAGGCTCGGCCCACCACGTTGTTTAGCGGAAAGGGGGTATGGTTATACAAAGCAAAGGACTAGCAACAAAAGGCTGGATACTTACAAGAGATCAGTCAGCTGCTCTAACAATCAGGCGCGCAATCTTTCTACTCAAACCATATATCCAATCAAGTGGCGTCCTGATCTTGCGTAGGGGCTTCATTCTGCATAAGAACAATCAGTTTCCGTCAAGTGTCATCAAGCGTCTTGGAGTGAAGAAACGCTCGATGAAGAGCGACCAAACAAGCCCTGGCCTAGGCGCGCAGGCCTCCACAAGAGATCGGGCCTCACCCAGAAGGTGCCACAGGCTGGCGTCGGTCACGTTCTTGCAGGCGGCCAGGTTGAGGCTGCGCAGGTGCGTGTAGGCGCCCACGTAGGCCAGCCATGTGGCGTCCACCGCAGACACGCCGCTGAGGTCCACCTCCTCCAGGCACGCCTGGAACAGCCTGGCAGCAGAAAGGGGACTTTAGAAAAGTTGACGGGGCAAGCTGGCCTCTCAGTAAACCTTAACTGCGCAAATTTTTGAAAGATGGAAGCTTGTTGCCAAGAATAGCCATGCGGTTGAAAGATCATGGCGCCCCCTCTGAATGTGTCGAGGGAAAGTGCCCAGCTTGAGCAGCAGAGGACAGTAACTTGGCACCTAGTGACCAGAAGCTGGGTCGAATCCCCGCCGCCCCATGCATATTGCTGTCCCCAACCCCGGCCCTGATCAGTACAAACATGCTTTTGGAAGTCTCTGTACCGAGTACAACTTGCATCACCACATGGTGCTCAGACAAAGTCCGTGACCAAGCTACTCGTCCAATGGAAGGTGTATAACAGAGCCAGGTTCATGCAATCAGCAGGCACCACCCAACAGCAGCAGCCTCAGAATCGTGTTGTTTGCTGAGCACATATGGAACAGCAAGTGACATACTCTAGCAAGGGCGGTGACAGCTGGCGGCTGCTGAGCAGTCGGTGGAAGAGCCTCTCCACAAAGGGGCTAGGCAGCCGTTCCAGGCTCCTGCGCTGGTACTTCCACAAGCCACCACTGAGAATTGCCTCGATGCACAAGTCAATCAGACTGGGCACGCTCGTCCCATTGCTCACTCCAGCATGCATGCCCTCCTGCATTGAGGCCATTGTGAAGGCAGGCTCCTCGCCCTTGCTGGTGCCAGCAGTCTCCACGGGCGGCTCAGCAAGCTAGGCTGCAGCCTTGCTGCAGGCTTGCGCTCTTCGAAGATCAGAGCTCTGCGCAAGATCGCCCGTGATCGGACTGGTCAGCTCTCCACAGCGCGGTCCTGTTCAGGCTTCCAGCGCGGTGACCCCCAGATACGCAACCGAGCGACGGCTGGTGACGCTTGTAATCGACGGTTTTCACCACCTTTGTACCTTGAGTGCAACATTCAGATGCTTCCATATTTGGCGTTAATTGCCAATGGATAGTCAGGCTGTGAACGGAACCGGCAGTGACAGTCAGAGAACGTGAACTGCTCCGATAGAGGCGAGCAGCCTAGGACAATCCTCAGTCCCAGCATGTGACCTTGAATTCGAAGGCAGGGATCTAGTTCAGCCGAGCATGGACGGTGCAGAAAGCAGCCCTGGATAAGCTTCCAGCCTCTGGCGATGTCTACACAGTCATAAAAGGGTGGCAAACTCCCCATCCAAAGAAGCTGTGGCGCGCTGTAGACTCATTGGAAAAGACAACTTGCAGGAGACTTGGAGTGGGTCACGCTGTGGAGCATAAGTTCTCATGCCGATTGTCGCAGTTGATTTCAGCGGCCATCTGATATTCTGGAATGTAGCTTTTCTGCACAGAAACTTGGTTGCTGGGTTCGCCTTCTCAACTTGCCTCAGAAGTGGGAGGTCCAAACAATTGCGTTGATTGCGTTCACAAGGCGCCAGATCTCGCTTTGAGAGTGCATACACGAGGGCAGCTGGTCACAAGCACTTTCTCCACGCATTTGTGATCGCAGCTGCGATCATCTGGCTGGGGTCGTAAGCTGTGAGGGTGTTCAAGCTGCAACCCTGTGGTCAGGAATCTTCCCCCGTGCTGCGGGCTGGCCTGATGGCCCACCCGATCAGGCTGGGCTTGCTCCCCTGCTTGCTCTTCCCACTGCTGCTGGCGACCCCAGCAGTGGGCGCCATCCAGCCCAAGGTGCCAGCTGTCTTTGCGTTTGGCGATGAGCTCCTAGACACCGGCAACTGCCTGGCGCTGCCGGGTGTACCCAGGCTGGCGGATAGCAAGCCGTATGGGCTGGCCACGTTTGGGAGGCCCACCGGCCGCTACTCGGATGGCAAGCTGGTGGTCGACCATCTAGGTGGGTGCGAAGTAAAGGTCGGAATTTGGCAGACTCCCAGTACTGAATTTGACAGAAGGCGTCAATCGAATGTGTGCTGACGATAGTGGCAAGGTGCAGCAGTTGGAGATTGCGGACATCAAAGCAGCGATGGGTATGTACGTACTCGTGTCCGTTCACCTCCTCGACAGGATGTTGGACATGAGAATTTCGCACCAAACGACCGGATCCACTTTACACATACGATTGATTGGTCCCTTGTGCTGTCCTAAATAGTTTACCACATTGTTTTGCACAAGGCAACCGCCTGCGTCCTCGTGCTTGCAGCGGACCTGCTGGGCATCCCGTACCTTATACCGTACGCTGTCACCGCCCTTATAAATGTGACGGATGCCCACCGCACCAGTCGGGCAGCCAACGAGGTGCTGCCAGCTGTTCCTCTGACTGAGTCTGCCGCTCAGCTTGCTCACGGCATCAGCTATGCGGCGTGCGGGGCGGGGGCGCTCCAATCCACGGCCGGGTGGTCAAGCCTGGAGGAACAGGTGGCGGCGTTTGAGTGGGCAGTCAAGAACGGCACGTGGGCGCCCATGACAGTGACCAATGCTCTGGTAGTGGTGGGTCGCTTGTTGAGCAGCTTTATCTTTATCTTTATCTTTATTGTTACCTCCATCTTTATCTGAGGGAAAAGAAAATAGAAACCCGAATCATGGAAGTGTTGGATAAGAACAGGACTTCGATCAAGCAGGTTGCATCTGGCCTTTTCATTGGTTCTGTGGATTGATACTTGCTGCATCGAAGTTGATGAGGGGAATTCAGTCGCAGTGAATTCGTCTTTCTCCGGAAGGTTTACTAATTGCTTGCATGTTTTAGGGCAGAAGAAGCCAAGTGGCGCATCCCTTTGACCACTGGGGTCCACCGCGGTCGATTCTGTGGGCCTTCCCAAGTAGCCACTCTGTGTCCCACGGCAGAGCGGTGGCTCCAATCTAGATATTATGAAGGCAGTGGACATGAGATATGTCAGAGACTCTCGTTTTTGAACCCTTTTCGCCAAGTAGAACAGGGGCAGTGTCAGGTCAGCCACGGCTCCAGCGTCGAAGTAGGACCAACATCGACAGTAGGGGAGAAGTGTGATTGTCTAGGAACGTTGGAGAAGTTCCGGTCATCCCTGCTTCACTCCTTGGTAAATTCGATGCCCGGAGGCTCGGGCTTTCAAGCTCCCAAGGGCGTGTCTGTCGAGTGACCACGCCTTTGGTCAAGCGTACTGGGATGTGTGTCGGCCTGCTCTCGGTGCCTGAAGCGTCACTACATTTGGTGCACCTGTCTCAAACCTGTGCACCTAGCGGCAGTTTCAATGGGGCCCTCGTCCTGCAGATGAGCGTGGGCAGCCACGATTACGTGCATGCGGCCAGCAAGAAGGGCGCGGTCAGCCAGTTTCTGGAGACGCAGGTAACATGTGCTCATACCCTGACACTTACCTTACTCTTGATTCAAATGTCTTTGGCATGCGGACATTCAATCGTCACTATCTCGAATAACCAGTACCGTTGAATGTGCCTCTGTTTCTCTGCTGGCAGGGAAAGCATGAGGGCCCAACTTTACAGTTGCACCCTGCTGAACCCTCTTTACGCCCCTGACCTCAAATTGCGCTTGCCCTCTGACCTTCGGTTCAGGTGGTGAGCGTGATGAGCGAGGCGGTGTCGTCTCTGTACTCGCTGGGCCTGCGCCGCTTCTTGCTACTGGGCGTCCCCGCTATTGGCTGCACGCCCAAGTACCGCGGCCGCATCGACACCCAGGGCGGCAGGTGCGACGAGAAACTAGACTCAGCGGCGCTCGGGGTGAGGCTCAGCGAGAGTCGAGCAGCGGCTGGCGGTACAGATGCCTGCAACCGCAGCCGTTGACAGCTTGAATCAGCTTTGATAGACGCTCGTTACTTTGGTGGTAATCTGCACGCTTCAAACCCAATCGGATTCATACCTCCTCTTTCCGGCCTTCTCTCATCAGCTTAAAAGGGGCATGCCTCTACACAACTTCCATCTGCTCATATTTCCTTGGACACGGTTGTGCCTGGGGCAGTCCCGCATAGCGCAGTGGTAGGGCGCAGTTCCTATCGCCGCTGGTTGCGAGTTTGATTCTCGCAATCGCAATTGCTTTCTTCTTGGGGCACCCGCAGAGCGCCGCACATTTATTCACATCCTATTTTATCGACGTGAGGTTTTGGCAGACTAAATCCTTAGGTAGGGACTCAAGTATGTGAATTGCTGTACACCCCGGAGATTTAGGCGCTTGGCAGCTTACGACTTGCATGTTCACAACGACCTGACATTCCCCATAGCTTGCACTTGAACCTGGTGAAAGTTTTGGAGTGCCGTACGCGATGTAGTCAGCTTCCAATCGACCACCACGGCCGAGTCAGTGATAGACTGCAGTTCTATACTTTGATCTTCCTCCAAGTTTCCGCGATCGACGGTTTTCCGTTAAGAGAAAGTCACCGGCTACTCTTGGTAAGATCCGGCGTTCCCCGGAACGGAATGCCGCTTTTGATATGCCGCTTGCACCCCTATGAACAGCTTCATAGCCGCTCGTCGTTCTGCGACTTAGTCTCTAGTTCTTTTCTGCAGCACAATGTGATGCTCAAGACGGCGGCGCACGGGCTGCGGGAGCGGATGAAGGGGGCGGTCGTGGTTGTGGTGGATACTTTCGAGTTCGTGTTCTCGGCCATCGCAGCCGCCGAGAAAGCGGGTGAGCGCAACTGAACTAGACTTGGAGTCAGTTTCCGTTTCCGGAGTCGCTTTAATTAAGATCCCCAAGGCTATTATGGACTTAACAGGCGTCGAAGAGAGTATTCAACATGGTGGAGCAGCGCGCTAATGACCCAGGGGCTAGACTCTGCTCTCGTGCGCTTCTCAACTGCGCGTCAACGACTGAATTTTTATGCAAGCTAAGATGAGAGTTTTGCCTCCGAGCGGTAAATGCTATTTAAAGCTGGGATTCCAGGTTGTTCAGACCGCCTGGTGCGAGCCCGGATTTCCCTGCTGCTTTGAAAGCGACTCTGGCTTGTTGGGGTTGCTTCGGTTTCCGTCAAGCGGGAGTGCCCCTTCTCTTGGACGCACTCCATAAGTCTTCTGTCCATGCGTTTTCAAATCATGGAGACGGCAGTGCGTCCAGCAACCGGACCAGGCGACTAGCGCTAACCTTAACCAAGTCTCCCTGACGGAGGGTGACGGCTGGCGACCTTGATAGACATAGCTTCATTTGATCATGTGCACAGCCGCGTACGCCCACTTTCTCGATTCTCGTCAAACTACTACTTCGTCAATAGAAGTTCACCGACAATCTGGAAATCTCTCAGCTCGAAGCGTATACGAAATGGCTATTCTCGTCGAACTTATTCGAGCGGTTGGTCAAAAGCCGGCGCCTATCGTCAGTGCCAGCTGTGCTGACGCCCGGCCGGCCCCGTGTCCAGGCTGGGATGACGTCAAGGTGCCGTGCTGCTCGGGGGAGTGCAGCAAGGACAAGGCGTTCACAGTGTGCGATCGACCAGCAAAGTATCTCTGGTGAGACATCAAAAGGCTCGCTGCAATAGAAATGTGCGGACGCCTTATCCGCAGTGCTTTCATAGACCGTGGAGAGTGCTTACGCATTTGAGAGGAGATAGAAGATTGAATACTGTTAGCTAGAAACCGACTCTTCGTCACACCGTGGCCTTAAGCAATTTTTTGGCAGCCGCTCAAACACAGCCGTAGGCAGCATCTGGGATTGTATTGTTCCGGCCCTCCGAGGATCTCCCTTCCCTCAAGATCAGACCCCGGCATGTCTGGCGCGTGCAATTCTGCTGATGTCGTGGCGGCGGTGCGGTGCCGCAGGTGGGACGATTTGCACCTGAGCGACGCGGCCAACCGGCAGCTGGCGCAGCGCATCTTCGACGGCCACGGCGGCTACACCACCCCGGGCAGCCTCGCCGACGCGCTCGGCTTCGCCAAGCTGGGGCCCGTCGACGAGCAAGGTCAGCCGCCGCGCAACCTGCCTGCCAATGGCATCACCCTGCTGCGTTTCCGACGGCTCGAGGTCTGTGCCAGTTTTAGGCCATTGCGCAGGATTAAGTTGCTCCCCTTCAGGAGCTTCAATTGGAGTGTGCTTTTGTCAGTTTTGATAGGACGTGTTCTATGCCAACGCTGCGTCGGCTTGCTGGCTCCTCTATACCGCTCGTATGCTCGGCCGCGTCAGTTCAGTTCAGCGTTCATTCCGATCAGATTCTCAGCAGACGGTCGACGGAAAGCACAAGTTTTGATTCTATTTCTTCAGTTTGCAAGTCTACGTGTCTGTTCGCGAAGGTTCTTGTCATGAGCACCAAGAACGGTGTCTTCTATCCCTTTTTTTGGCAGGGCGAGAGAAAGAGATCTGGGAGTCCCCCGAGTGGGCCGCCCTGGCGTGGGTGGCCTTCTGCTTCGTGTACGTGGCGTGCCTGGTGTACGCGCAGCTGCCCCGGCCAGCCCCCCCGGGCAGGTACAGCCGGCCCTGAATCTCACGCCCATAGAGCGGGCCCCGCGTTCCTCGCACGCAGTCATGAGCTGATAGATCAAAGGTATCGAGCCGCCTACTATTCTTTCAAAGAGTACTTGTACAGCGCAGTGTTTGCTAAAAGCGGCAAGGAAAGGCCTTTTTGACAATAATAATAATAGCAAATCTTGAGAGCAGGCAGAGTAGCTATTCTTTTGGAGCTGAGATTGGGTGTAAGGTCAGGGCGCTGAGCGCGGGTAAGTCTGGTGCAATGGCAGTTGATTCTGGTCACCACACCCAAAAGTGAAGCTCATAAGAGCGCCAGCTAAGGCGATGCAAGACGTCCTATATGGATGTTTAGCTTTGTCACGTCTTCCGTGTCAAGAAGACTCTGTCTTTTGCCTAGAACGAGGTACGTGAAGTGCATGATCATTGAGCGACATTCGTTATGATTGCGAGCACTCCAAACAGCTAGCTGTCAGTGCCACCATCTTGGTGCATGAGCTGGCGGGCCCCGTCTACGTAGTCAGTACGTCACAGTGCGTGCAGCTCTGCGGCAGGCTTCAGCTGCCACATGTCCGAGTTACAGAATCATATAGGAAAGCAATGATGACGATTGTGTAATTGAGATGGCCACTTGACGGCCGGACGCTGCGCTGATTGGTGCATGCCTCCGTCAAAATTAGAAACGGTTCTGAATGACTATTGCTCAAGCTGCAGTATACCATGCATGTAATCCTGATTAATTAACTGTTGCTCGTGCATCGATGCCCCGCGTTGCATCAACTGGTGCGCGGGCAATGTGCACTGCTTGAGCTCTCGACCAGGCAATTCACGGTGCATGGGCTCATGGAGTCGATATCAATTCCCTTAGGTATATATAGCACTCAAAATGGACAACCAGCTGTCTCAATATCTGGACGGTTATAAGTTGTGCAAAGCGGGCCGCCATTCGACTGTGATATCAGCGCAAAAGCTTACCACACTTTCCAGGTCACAATTGGCCCCTCCGCAAACAACTTGACAACTTCTGGGACAAGGAAGCGCGGGTAGTCTCGGTATTGGAGAACATACGAAACCGATCTGATCCATGCTGCGGAGAAGCGCCGCACTGTGATGTGTAGTTTCCCACTTGCATATTGCAGGGTTGAATTTTTGAGATTTTTGCCAGTAGTGCGGCCGAACATTGTAAGAAGGTAAGGCCACCAGGACGGGAGCATGGCATGCTACCGTACTTTCTGGTCAGTAATGGTGCTCAAGGCACGTCCGTTGGACGCAGGTGAATGGTCTTGTATCCCAACCGGCCAACCATACAACCGGATGCACAAGGGTGCACTCATGAGCCTTGGCCAGCGGTCCCCTTTTCAAATCAACGCTGAAAAGGTAGACGTTTGACGTCCCAGCACTTTGTGGAGAAAATCGAGGCTTTGTTCTATGTCGCTCTGATTGGGCCTGCATCGAAACGCGCGCCAAGAAGCGAAAGCGTCATTGCCTTGCCGCCAGCTTCTGGTCTTTCTTCCTTTGGGCTGCCACGTGGCACACCCGGGCCGCTTCAATGCAGTCCGCAATGCTCGCGTTCGTCTTGATGGCCCCAGCAGACACCTGGGATCGAGACACGACAAAGCCAGCCTGCAGCACACCAAGGAGCGGCACGTCAGCATCAGCCACGGCCCATCGACTCATCGAGTATCAAAAAGCCAGGACAAGTGTGGTCAGTCAAACGATGCCCCAGGCCGTGTCTAAAGCATACCAACGTGCCGGCTTCGCTTCATTCCTTCTGGTAGAGGAGTTTGCGTGCATAAGACCACCAGCCCGAAACGCATCCAAGATAGGGCACCAACGCACAAGGCGCGTATATGCCTTGCTAAGTGCAGCGAAGAAGAAGAAGGAGGGCTCGGGGGAGGCACCTTGCGTAGTTCGGCGCAGAGCTCCAGCTTGTTAACGGGAGACGCTTTGCCCAGCTTGTAAATCTGGAAAGATAGAAGGAGAAGCTGGAAGAGGGCGTAGCTCGAAGTGTTAAATCCTTGACACCCATTCCGAAGCTTGACACGCAGAACCAAGTGCAAAGTAAAGCATGGAGGGTAGTTGTCGGGGGATGCATCGAACAGGGTGCAAACCTCATCCAAGGCACGCAGGATGCTTGTGCAGAGAAAAGCCCACCTCTCAAGTTTCGAAGCAAACAGTATGGTCGCTGCGTTAGACAGCAAAGACGTAACGACCATTTTAACAGCTGCCGGCGTCAGCCCGAAGGAATTCTGTCATCAGGACCGTAGGATAAAGTGAACTGGGCCGAAACAGCGAAGTAAGCCCACGCGGCTCACGTCGTCGAGCTTGTAGAAGAAGGGCGGCAGGCCCGGCTGCGTCTCCTCCTGCATGAGCTGTAGCAGGTCGGGCAGGTCGCGGAAGGGGTACACCGAGTTGCCCTTCGGCCGATGCCGCTCCCCCGCGGGCCGCCGCCCGTACCCCTCTGCTAAACCCTCCGCCCACGAGTGGCGGCCGCTCTCCGCGACCATTGCGTCGACGAAGGCCGCGCAGTGGAGGGGACCCGTCCACATGGGGCCCACCACCGCCATCGGCCGCGGCTGAGGCAACAGCGGAAAGGAAGAAGAGGGTCAGAAGAAGCCGGGCTTTGGACTGTATTCCACTGTCAACCGTTCTACGAACCCCGTATCAAAAGCAACACTTTTCTTAGGAAACTAGGACAGAATCATTCAAACACTTTTGTCGGAGAATGCAGTGGAACCGTGGTGGTTCCCTCGTGAACCGCCCTGGCCCAGCACTAGCAATGAGACGTTGCGCTCGGACGAGGCCGGTACCAAACGTTGCACCTCTCTAGAAAGGGTTTACACTTCCGTCTAAGGTTCCGCTACTGAAGACAGGGCATGAAGGACGGCCTTCATTGTAGAACGAAACCCCTTGTCGCCGACAAACTCGGCGAGATCTGCACCTGGAGACTGTGAATCCAGGATTTCGAGTCAGACCCTTGCGTTCTAAAGTTTCCGCTTGCAGAAGAACAGCCCTTAAGAAGCAGTGCGCGGCACTCACTGGATGCTCGGGCCCTGCGCAGGCGCAGGTGATGTTCCCGAGCTGCTTCCAGGCGGCCTTTCGGGTCTGCCCGCACACGAAGCAGTGCCCCAGGAAGGCGAAGTCGTCGTGGCCCCAGTCGCCCTTGTTCAGCTTGTCCACCCGCAGCATCGCGCGGAACACCGGCCCGTGCGGGGCGAAGTGCGAAAACAGGGGCCGCACCAATAGGTCGCGTAGCGCACCCTCGCGCACCTACCGCCACGGAATCGACTGTTTGAGGCTCTCCGATTCAAGAGTGTGAAGTGCTACTTCTCTCCCTCTGTGGTACTCGTGGTGTTGCGATGACCCAGGGAGCTTCCTCAGTGCAACGAATACGAACAGACGAGGCAGCGGGGCAGCGATCGATCGATACGTGGCCAAGAGCAGTATCATCACGGGGCTGCTTCAGAGGTAGAAGACGCTACAGAGGCCCGGCAATTGAGGTAAGAGGGCACCCCCACGGGCGCCCAATTATTATGGATTGAAGCAATGTCGGAACACTTCTACACCGAGATCTTGATGGACAAATGACTTGCTTGAGAAGCGAAGCCCAATTGTCTTCGAATCTCAGACCACGAGGTGCAAGAGGGCGGAGCACGTCGACTGGCCGTGATACCTTTTGTTCCAGCAGCCGCCACAGCCCCGCACGCGTACTCACCATGGTCCCCACCAGGATGCGCAGCCCCATCTCGTTCCCAAACGGCACGGGCCGCGCATACGACCCGTACGCTGCCAGCGTGGCAGCCGGCCGATGGCCCCCAGCCAGAGCGAAGCCGTCGGTAGAGGTGACGTAGACCATCCCCCCGTAACGCACGGCCCGCAGAGCGTCCCCCAAGAACGCCGAGTCGCTTCCGAAAGAGTCGATGTCCACTATGTCGTAGAAGTCGCCGTTCTGGTTACAGCTGCCCAACAGCTTGCTCGCCTCCAGGTGGGACACGCGCCACCGCGGTTTCCGCCCACTTTCTGTCCCCTCGGGCGATGTTTTTGTGCAGCTTTTCGAAACGTCTCCACTGAGACGTGCATGTCCCTTTCCGATGTGCCCATCTTCTATACTAGTGGGGCCTCCCAAAACGTGCTCCCTATGCAAGGTCCCGTCATCCGCAACTTCAGAACCAACTGGGTACCCCCGTAGTTTCCCAAACCGTCCTTCTCGATCCTTTGAATCGAGAGCTCCGTCCTTCCCAAGCCCGCCCATGCTACGCGCGGCCCCCGCAACCATTTCTGGTCCTTCCGGGTCTTCCCGCACGCCGTCAGTGGTGGTCGCCCTCAGATGGCTGCGCTGCCTTTCCGCCAGCTCGGCCTCTGCTCTTCCTCCCTCCTCTGAGGCCCTTGCGTAGGTGGTGGCAGCCTGCCTGATCTGCCAGGCGTCAACCGGGCCCTGGAACCCCCAAGGGTCCCCGGACGCTGCCGACAAGTTGGCCACCAGGGGGGCGTGCGTCTCGTCCCAGGCATCGTTGGCCCACACATAATCCACGCCCGCCTGCGAGGACATTCGGCAGCGTTCTCTGCACTACGTGTAAGTCCCAGGCAGCAGACTATTGTGATAAGGGCTTCAGTGTACAAGCTTGCTTCAAAGTCTATGGACACTGTCACCTTATGCGAGAGGTGCTGCCAAGAATGCGAAGAAGGGCAGAATTCTAGCCAGGCCGCAATCTGCAAATTTTCATATTTCCGAACTCTGGAGATGTATCCAATTGCAAGTTGTTGCGTGCAAAGATCATAAGAAAGCCTTAGAAGCGTGGCGACTGCCCCCGAAGGTGGCTGTCTACAAGCCTACTTTTTCTATATGTACGCAATTACGCAGAGCACAGGCTTCGCAATTGCCACAATGCGACAATTCTGGTCAGGCTGTGCCCCATTTCATGGGAAGTCTGCGACCTGACATTTCGACGGTATCCCCAGTACCTGGTCCAGGTAGCGTGCCCCGCGCACGCCGCACCCGCTCATGACATCCAGCACCCGCAGCCCCGCTCCAGTCTGCTGCTGGTGCACCCGCGCAGCAAGCACCGCCAGGTCCCTAGACGGGGTGCTCTCGGGCTTGTAGAACGAGGGCCCCACTACGAATTGGGTCCCCCGCTCGGTCTGGACAACGCCCAGGGGGGCAGCGGAGGAGGGAACAGGGGCAACCACCGCTGCTGGAGTGGTGTCTGCATGGAGCAGCCAAAAATCTATTACACTGATGTACTCCGACACAACCGCAGAACTTTGGATGCCAGCATCCTTGCTTTTCCCCAACAACAAGGTGCCCTGGAAGGCCCCAAGCGGCAAGCAACAGAAAGGCAATCATGATGACGGCCTTTGACAAAAGAATGGCACCTGTCAATAGGGGGCGCAGAAGAGTCGCTCTATAAACGGCGTCGAAGGACTCTTAAGCCAAAACACATATAAATGAGGCGTCACGTTGTTTTACAACACTCTGCTTCCAGTAAATTGACCCCACTAAAATGAATGTAGCGTCAGGTGCGTGCAGGGAAGTGTGCGATCAGCGCCCTGCCATTCCTCAGCACTTAGAGTAACTCTGCATTCTCTGCCCATCTCATCGAAGTACGGTGAGATGGGATATGGATTCAAAGAGCTGATGTCACTGCTGTCACTTTCTCTAATGCAAGGGTGGTGCAACCTCAGCCTGGCCACAAGGGCTCCCTAGTCCAACGGGGTTCCTAACGGCCTTACCTGCATTGTGCATCATTTCGCCACCTTGTGATTGGCCCCTCATTTGCGTCATTGCGTCTGTCGCATACTCCCCGACACAATGAGCTCCTTGGGCCAAGCGATCCTGCGCGTACAATGCTGCCCAACCTCCTGGCTTCAGCAGACGCCTGCTCGTGGTGGCAAACATGCGCTGCAGTGCAGGTGCGCAGCAACTGAAATGAACCAGCGCGGATGGCTTGATGTCAGGCACCTGAGGGTGCAGTCCCACACTAGCAGCAGGGGAGAGGAAAGGCTGCTTCCTAGTCGCCAGCGAGGCCATCAATGCAATGCGGGCCCCACTGGCACTAGCAGAGCGCCCTACCTATACTATCCGACACACCCGCATTGAGCACAGGCTACTAGTACTAGTACTGCCCGCCACCATTTGCGAATTGGCAGCCTCCTAGAGACCGAGATCGAGCAGCAAGCCAAATGAAGTTCGGACTAAACTTCTGCCCAATCAGAAGGGGCCAAGTCATACCCCCCACGGCGATCCGGCCAGTCCCCAAACATTTCAGGTTTTGGTATCGTCGTTTTACGCCAAAACGTGCCGTACCTCTCCAGGCGCTTTATGACCTTCAACTTGCACGAAATACTAAGTGGTTTGCTGGGTTGTTCACTTGATAGAGGCCCTTCGACCTAGTTCGGTTTGCTCTGACTTTGGGCTAACCTAATATGTACTTCATTTTGCCTCGGACTCCTATAGAGGGGCCGGTCCGATCCACTCTCACCTTTCGTAAGTGTTCGCTGTCAGAGGAAGCGCTGCACAGGCGACACTACCCTAGCATTAGAGCTAGATTCTATGTAGTCAGGAGCACAATGATGGAACGGGGCAGTGAAGAATGCATAGCAAGCACGTCCAGCGGAGAAGGAATAGCTTTGCAGGAGACAGAACCTGGCCCTGACGTCGAAGAAGATGTGCACAACCTGGATGAGCAGAAGCCAGTCTATGTCGGTCCCTCACATGGGTACTCTGGCTTCAAGCGCATGTACAAATTCGATGGCAGTCGACGGGTTGTGGTGCCCCCAGCTCTTGATCTGTCGACTCTGACGGATGATGAGGCAGAGTGCCTTCGTCTTGCAGCATTGGGCAGGTATGATGAGGAGATGATGGGTGGCCTTCTCATTGGTCCCTCGATCTCTGATGGTGGTGGTACCATGATTCCGCTAACTCCTGCTTACGGACCAGATAACATCGTTGACTTCTTCCTGCCGAGCCACATCCTCCATGGCAGCTCCCTGCGTGTCTCCAACCTTGTCTATCTTGGGCTTGCAAGCAGCAACTATGGGGTAAGTTCTGTGTCACAGGACTTGTCATGAAACAACTCTCTTCAGCTCCTCCATGTTCAGAACTTGCTGCAGATCATGCTCGGTGATGAACCTGGAGTGAATGATTCTGAACAAGTAGGCCTGCCTGTAGATTGCCTGCAACCTGCACAAATTGTCAGCTCTGAGAGGTGTGTGGGAGATTCATGAAGGCTCATATTCTGTGCAGACGGTGTCACTCAGGCCAGTCATCCCAAGCCTCCAGCGTGCCAAGCTCGATCGTCAGCTTCATGTTCCTTCCTCACCAACACGTTCTCTTACTACCACCCGAGCAACCCCTGATCTTTCGCATGCACAAGCAAGAAATGTGGACCAGCTCGGAGGCTGGTCGAAGTGGAAGATTCCATGTGCAGATTTTCTGGAGGAGGGGCACAAGCTGGTCTTTTTCAGTTATCCAAGTAAGCTGCATTTTCTTGAAAGCTTCCCTCAAAGGTTCTTTGACGTATGTGCGAATGCACTGGAGCTCCGGAAGCTTCTCAGATGCTCAGGAGCTCCTCTCGAAAAGTAAAGACGTGACGATGCTCCTGAGTGATATCCCTTAGTGGAAAGGTATGCATGCAGTTGTTGCATTTGGAGCATTCGGCAGTGCATTCTTTTTTTGCAGCAGTTATGTTCCTGAAAGCATGTGAGAAAACCAACCTCTCTCCCCTTCCTTCTATCTTCTCAGGCCAGCCTGGGCAGCTTGTTGGTCGAGACTGGGCAGCAAACTATCTGCGGACACCACAAGACTACGAAGAGTACTGCATTCAGGCTGGAGAAGGGGCTGTTCCACCAGAGCAGTTTTGCTTGGACCCAGACGTAGCCATGCAAAGGTTGATGGGCCTTGCAGGCGATGTATTCTATCCTGATCAGCTGTGCCTCTCTCCTGGTACCGTCCACAAAGCAAACTCTTTCCTTGTGGAGCACACAGCGACGATGATGCCGCAAAGTTCAGGAGGCGCAGGTTGGTGCAAGCGCAAAATTCTTGTCGCTTGTGTTGGAGACACTCCCCTCGTTTGATGATGTTCTGCTGGAGGAGATGGTATTGTTTGTTTGCATGTTGTGTCTGGATTCGTTGCATTGGTTCTAAGAATTAGTTCTGGCGTGCAAAAATTACTATGGTTGGGAAGTGGAATCTTCACTCCTCATCTTGTGGTCTTTTGGGTGTCAAGTTAGTCGTTTGCCCAGCAGCCAAACTGTGTGCCTCTCTTTGATGTCTCATGAATTTGAATTTCCTTATATGCTGATGCAGGATGTGCCATGCAGCAACCCTGGAAGTTGCACTGTATGCATCTCCAAGCTCAGAAGGATTTCCGGCGACAGTATGCATATGCCCTGAGCGTAAACCACCCAGGTATACCCACAAGCATCAAATGTTTGTTCTTAGGGAATAACGATCCGGGGCCCCGCTGAGAGGTCTTTTGCTGCCTTGAGCGAGTCGGCTCTGAGTTCACCCTGCAACTGCTTTCCTTGCGTAAGGGGATTCCTAGGATTGGTCGGACGCAGGCACTCTTCCTGTGAGGGGAAGCCTGATCGAGATTTCTTTGGCTGTGCGCAGTTTGGGTTGCCAACTTCGTTGCAGACGTGCTACCAAGCCTTGCCAAGGTGCCCACCCGAGCATTTGACGAGCTGGATGTGGACGCGCTTGCATGCCTACAACGCTACTTGAAGCACCATGCAGAGGCCATTGTCCAGCTCGGCCTCAAGAATAAAGTTGGCCGCTTTCTGAGTGCCCACGAAAGCCGGATTGACTGGAGCTCATGCATCCTGGCAGATCTTCTCTAGGTGAGGTCGACGATATCATACAATCCGTGGCCTCTGGTAGGTACAATGCCAACCTTATGGCATGCAGTCCAACTTTTGAAACACAGCGATAAGGACTGACGGAATGGAAGAAAATCTCAGTTGTCTTCTCGAAACAAGGAGGGACGCTGTAGGAGATGATTGCTTGCCGAGCTTTCCAGGTTCAAATCTCGTGCAAACATGCTTCACCAATCACTGACGACAAGGCCTCTTCAGTGTCCAAATCTCGCCAGCTTCATATTTGGGAGAGCATCCCCAATTATGGCCTAGGCTTGCTGACTTCTTTTGGTCGAATATAAAATCTCCTAGTTGCCGACTTGTGGAGAACATTGCAGACAACTTCAGTGGAATGTTCAAGGCCAGGATATGGTGAAGAGCAAGCTGCTTGAGCTGCTTTGTTGTCGCATGTTGTCAGACTCCTTCCTGCTTGTTCAAGTCAAGAGAGCCAAAGATGAATGTGGCACACAGACTCGTCACTTTTTCGGTGTTTCATAAGCTTGATTCAGGTCCTTCTCCTGCAGGACTTCGGGGTGATTTTCAAGATTGGGCTCACGCTGAAGCCCTTCTCATGCCCAGGTCCGAGGCTGTAGATGAGTCTCAAGTGCAAAACGAAGGAAAGGGCACCGCCTAGGACAAGGAGCTAAACGGCGTGTTAAATTACACTTGTTCTGCTAATTGTTCAGGTTGAAGCAAATGGTACTCGAAAGGAACAATAGCCTAAGTGTAGTTCATGGTGCTCGAGGCTTGAACTGAATCATAATAGTTGTGTGCAGCACTGTCTTGGTGAGCTTCTCTATGAAACCCAACCGTTCATATTCTGATGGAACTGCCACATGTCAACTTTGTGGTTCTCCAATTGGATTTGTGTTGAAATGGATCTCTCAAGAAGTTACTCAAGAAGTACAGTGGCGTCGATAAGTATCCCTCAATTGGAGATAGTAATGGCAGTGCATCCGGGCTTTTTACCATTCTTGGTACTGAAAGCAGAATTTTCGAAGGGAGAGTGCCAAGCGATCATGGCTTTCGGAGACAGTGGCTAATAAGTTATTGGATTGTTGCCTACATGTTTCATGGAAGCTTCCTAGCTTCATATGCAGTTGCACCCAACACCGTTTTGATATGATCAGGTAACAATAACAATGACAAAAGTGAGTGCTACGGCACCTCAAAAGTCAATGATGCGATAAGGAACCTCAACTAACGAACGTCATTTTAGTCCGAACTTCAAGCCATATGAAGTTCGGTGTTAAATCTGGGCGAATCACAGCGCGCCACGTCAGCCCCCCCCGGTACCAAAAGAGTGAAGGTGTCCGGAACGGTCGTACCAGGGGTCGAAACCTGGAGTGGGAGCCGGGTGCGGACCCAAGTGGTCCCCGATCACCGGGCACTCGGAAGCAATGCAAGTGTACTCCTAAGTAGGTTACCTTCTCCTCCGAAAATTCAAGTACAATATTGCAGCTTTTGCGGGTATGGCCTTACATACATATATATTGCCAAATTGATCCAAGAGAGAAAACTTTGTACTACTAATCTGTTATATTCTCTTCTCCCAAAAGTCATTACAATATTGCATCTTTTATCAGGTATGGCCTTACATACATACATATTGGCAATTTAATCCGAGAGGGAAAACTCTATACTA